CTGCCTACTGAGATATGTAGAGCCTACACTAAATCTATCTCAATCAATCGTCGATTTTCCAAAACCATATTCTGTATTTTGTATTTTGTTATTTGATTTCTGGTGTTGAGGTGCTTTTTGCACATCCTTCACGTGGATCGTCTTGTACGACCACGTTTAAATTCAGCAACCCATCTACTGTTCTCATATTAACATTCCTTCTGGAAATTATTTTGGTGCTAAATTGTATTTTCACACCGTCAGCACACCGTCGTACATATTTGTCCTCAGAAGTTATCACCTAACCGAATAGAAACATCTTTGTTATTCCCCAAGCGACCATAGAACCTGTACGCCACGAGTGACAAATTTCCTTTTGATCATAACAAAATAACCTTCTTTCAACCTATGAACCACTTTAAGGTTTCTGCTTAGATCACCCGACTCGCGCCACATATTATACCTCATTTTAATTTTGCCAGCGGTCCTAATAAAGTGGTCGTAGCTCTTTAACACCCTATACCGTCCGCTTTGAAATGCAAGGACCGACAAACAGTCAGTAAAGTCATGCTTTTGTGTATTCTTAAAATACCGACGGCTTCTGGGTCGGCGAAAAAAATCTTTTGCTGCCACAAAATACATATAACTTTGTTACTTAGCAGCTTCTGTCTGCCACTCGAACTTCGTACGACGGTCCAATGAAAATTGTTGCTGTTGCCGTTGGTGGATTTACTGCTGCTGAAAAGTAGCAGAAATAAAGACCAAAACATAAGCGCGCCGGAATGCATATTCAAAGCCACCTATGCGTGAGCATGTGTGTGTGTGTGTGATTTTTTTCAATTGGCTATGTGTGCGTGTAAGCACGAGTACAAGACTGCAGGACGCAACAGTGCAGCACGGTGCCACAATCGTACACACGTGCACTTGTAAGTCCGAATATTCATAAAAGTTTCGTTATTTGTACTCGCTCGTATTCAACTCGTTCCGCCAGCACACTTTCAACCATTTTTATGCATGACGCGTACAATTATGTGATGCATATAATTTTCTGGAACAATTCCATCAACGTGAATTATGCTTAACATACATATTCGCCATTTTTTATTTGCTTTGTAAATTTCATGTGTCCTCGAAAAGCGCAGGAAATTAAAAAAAAATTACAGAAAACGACATTGAAAGGTAGCGACGAAGACGGATGATACATATAGCATGTGCGTGGGTGTGTGAGTATCACTGGTCTGCGTATATCACTCTGTAAGTATTGGAATATGGTAGCAGAATTGCGCAAAATATTAACGGTGTAATGAGATGTGTATAATGAGGTATTAACTTCTGCCTTAAAGTAAGGCTGTGAAAATTTTGAAGGGATTAAATTTTCATTTCTCTTGTTCAAGAGTTTTAATTCGGGTTTCGAAATGCTTGGTGATATGTGTACAACATTTGAAAATATATTTTATAGAAGAAGGTTGCACTAATACTTTTGTCACACATTTTAGAAATAACTGTCTTTAAGAGTAATTACTTGTTACGTAGGGATAATAAATTAACCTTCAACATATTTATAAATCCGTACCCTTTTTAGCTCTCTCTTCTTATTGTTATCAGTTCTTTTTATAACCTGAACTGGGTATATTAAATTTTCTATGAAGTTTGTAATACCTCGGAAAGGAAGGAAACCTCGGAACCCTGTAATGAATATATATAAATGATCGGTATCGATTTATATATGACCGCTAGTTTATCCATGTATATGCGTTAGTTTTTGAGACATCGATCTAAAATTTTGCACACGTCCTTTTTTCCACAAGAAGCTGCTTAATTTCTAACAAGGGCTGACTCGACTTAAGACCGTATAGACTTAAGACCGTATAGACTTTAGAATTTACATATCCATGCAGGAAAGTGTCTAAGGAGTGATTTCACACGATCTTGGTGGCTAATCGACCAGTCTAAAACGTGAAATTAGCTGCTCACCGAAGTGTCCTCTCAATAATTGCACCAGAAATTTGACGTCATCAATTTTTCAAGAGCCTATCGAGCGGCTTCTGTGTTTTCCGCTTTTAACTTAAGATCTCGACGTGAAATACGCAAAGTCATTCCATACCTCAGTCTGAGTTGCTGCGAACTGCCGAAGTTAACACGTACTTTCTTCTTATTGCGTTTAATTATTCAATATTCATAATAATTTTTGAGGAAAACCAGCTTAAAATAACTACCGTAACATATTAGAAAGTGAAGTCCGCAAATGCAAATGCTTTTTTAGACAGCTTTGCTGTCCGGTAGCCGAGCGTATAATTTTGCAAAATACATATGGCTTCATCTTCATGAATCATGGAGCTTGGGTATGCTTTATTCCGCTAACCCGCATTTGATGAAATGTCCACATACTATAAGTAATGGAATTCCCTTAGCCAAAAGTACCATCAAAACCAGTTTCAATTATTACAATTCATACTGAAAATAGTAAAGTATGTACATATGTGTAATTAAGAATTGAATAAATTGAATATAAGTGGCTTGTACAATTTGGCACTACCAACACATCAAGTGCCGTTTCGTATTCAAGCTTAAATTTGAGTAATTTATACAGGGTGCTAGTTACGTAAAGTTATATTATTTATGAACTGAACTCAAAACTTTTACTCAAAGCAGAGTCATATAAGATACTTCTAAACCGCTTACCACATACGCAATTTTAAAAATGTTGCAAGCAATTCTTCACTGAGTCTATTTTGATGTCATCTCTAAAGTATTACTATGAGCAAAAAATAGTAAATAATTTTAAATAATTTATCATAATTTTAGCATTCTTAATTTATTCTTCAAAATCTAAGGAGACGACATAGATTCAAATAGACGTAGATAAAAGTAATCGCAAAAAGTTAATTTCCGGAAAGCCTTCAATTCGATTCACTTTTAATTTCTTCAACTGACTCAAAACGGTTTCCCCGAGCAGTTCTTTGAGTTTTCTGAATAGCCAGAAGACCTAGAGTTGTCGGCCGGTAATTCCGACCTCTTTTTACGAATAGCTTCGCACAAACGACGCATAACACACAAACAGTATTCCTTGTTGACAGTTTGGCCGATCGGAAGAAATTCGTCGAAGAAAACTGTATATGACGTGATTGAACTTGTTTTCGGTTTCCGCTCACCTTTGCCATGATATTCGGTTGATTGATCATCTGCTCCCGGGTCGTAAGTATATCCAATACTCATCGTCAGTAATAATATGATTTTTGACATTCTGTTAGTAAGTGATTTTGGAACCAATCGGGCTTTCACTTTTCTTAAACCCAAATGATCTTTCAAAATGGTTTTCACTGATCCTTGCGAAATACTAACGATGCTAGTAAGATCTCTGACTGATAATCGTCGATCCTCAATAACCAATTTTTTTATTTTACTGGCGTGTTGATCATTAGTTGATGTTGATGGTCGTCCTGGACGTGGTTGATCGTCAACGCGTTGTCGACGAATGGATTTTCGCTTGAAATTTATATTAAAAAGTGTTACTATTTTTGCTTACAGTAGTACATCTTAAATTTAATTTCCCAGATAAAAATCTAACGGCTTAATCACACGATCTTGGTGGCCAATCAATCGGCGCAAAACGTGAAATTATCTGCTCACCGAAGTGTTTTCTCAATAAATCATTTGATTAATGCGATATGTGTGAAGTTGCGCTGTCTTGTTGAAACCAGAGATCAGAAGATTCAATTATATCAAATAGTCGGTTATAATGCAGCAATAACAGTCCCCATTGACGGTTACGTTCTCACCGGCATCATTTTTGAAGAAATATGAACCTATGATTCCAACGGCCCACAAACCATATCAAACCATTTTTTTCTGGATGAAATGGCAGCTCTTGAACCGCTTCAGGTTTCTCTTCGTCCCAAATGCAGCAATTTTGCTTGTTTACATAACCACTGAGCTAGAAATGAGCCTCATTGCTGAGCTGAACTCGAAAACGTCGAATCTTCCTGAAAATTTTCAAGAGCGAAGCGATCTCGCTTGGGAAGGTCGAAAGACTTCAGTTCTTGCACGAGCTGTATTTTGATCTTTGTATTTAAGATTTCGACGCAAAATTCGCCAATTTGTTCTAAACGTCAGTCCGAATTCCTGCGAATGGCACCGAATCGACTCCACGGTGTTCGTATACCGTATTCTCAGCTACGGTTGCTATATTTTCTTCACTACCTGCTGGATGTGGTCTATTCGGTCGAGTATTATCCCATAATGAATTCTGGGTCTCTATATGAGTTATGTGACGAATAGTACGTCGAGGCCGATTGTGTTGACCATGTGTTGAGCGAAGTGCCCGAAACACTTTCTTTTATAAAAATTTGGGCGATTTGTAAACGTTGTTCTTTGTTGTTGTTGTTTCCATGATGTAATGCCAAACAATACTGTACAAAAATAACGTGACAGCTTGACACGACTCACGCGTGTTCCGTCAAAAAGAAGCTATAAAAATGTACCTCTACTTGAATCACCCGTTATATTAAATGAACAATTAACTAATAGCGTAAAAGATGCTCAATCGAAGAGTTAAGCCCCTTGTAAGCCTCTTAAAGAACAATAATAATAATAACAACCAAAAATGACCAGCGAAAATGTGTTAAGGAAATAGAAACTACAACAAACAGCGTCACAGAAGCAGACAAAAGCGCAGAATATGCGCAAAGCCTATTATCAGCACCATGAAAGACGTTAATAGCGGCGATGTTCGCATTGATCTTCCGCTGCAAAGACCACACCAGCTGGCAGTAGCGACATAGGCGAGTTTAGCTTGCGAGCAACAGTAAATGAGCGATCAGTTGGCGGCAAACAGTGGCCAGTTTGAGAGGGTTTTTGGAAATTGCGAGTGAATCTATATAATTATATTAATATTATAAATTAACTGTTGTTTAGAAAATTTGCAAATTTTGTGGAAAACATTTTGAGTGTGAAATAAAACATAATTTTTGAAAATTGTTTAAAACGATATTATTACTATTTATTTTATAAATAAAAAAAAAATGCAATTCTTATACAATTTGTTATTGTTGTTCTTGCTGTTATTCTGCATTTCGAGTGCTGATGCGGCGAATGCGATTAAGTGCCGGCAGCAAGTAACGGTTATGCGTGCAAAGCGGCAAACAGTCGACTTGTCGCCACAACAACAATACCAGCAACGGCAAAGGTAGTGAAGGCGGTTATTAATTAGAACACAATTTTTTTTTAAGTGTCATCTTAATTGTCGGTGCTCTTATGGAACGTTCAGTGTTGACAAATAATTAATTATGCTTATTTTTTCGCTCTCAAACACTCGTTGTTCGTCTTATCAGGAATTTGCGAGAAACATCGTCAGTCGTCAAGCCGGTCGTGAGATTTTTTGTGGCGACGCCAGGGCAACAAGTGCAACAACTGCAAGTCAATAGCGGCGGAGGTCAGCAACGCTTTGCTTTCACTTCGCAGCAGCAACAACAACATTTGCATCAATTTCGTCTGCAACAACAACAACAACGAGCATCGTCTTCGCAGACACAAATACCAAGTAATGACCAATATTCGCAAAGTAATAGTTACCTGCAGCGACAACAACAACAACAATTCTACAATAATACACATTTTTCGCGGGTAGGTCAACAACCACAGCAGCAACAACAACAATTTCAAGCACAGCCCCCGCAGCAGTTCCACCAATCCCAACAACAACCGCTACAATTTTTTAAACCACAAATAACAACAACACCAAATCGAATTTTTCAATACAACAACTCAAACCAACAACCTACATCCCGTTATGCGCCACAAATTGCAGCACAGCGACAACGGGAGAGCACACCCACACCCAACCAAGGCAACGGGGCAGATGCTCCAGTTCTCACCCCACTGCTCCCCTCATATTCGGAGTAAGTGCTTCCATAGTTTGTGTACTTTAATTATTTTTTTTTAACTGAATTTCTTTCTGCATTACAGTGAAGATGACACCCCGTCAAATTACACGCGACTATGTGAGAGGTGTTGCACCCCTGGCCAAACGCCATGCCAAGATTGTTGCGATACTAACCCACTCTTAAGTGTGGCTGTTTTGAAGTCATCAGCGGGTTAAACTAAAGTGAGCTGACACTAAACTTATCTTATTCTTTATATTTATAAAATGTGTGATAACGATAACATCTTTATTGAAATTAATATATATGTTTATATATTATGAAATAATAAATTTAGAAAGGCGCTAACTCTTTCTTCATTTTCTAACATCTCTGTATAATCGGAAATTGGCAATAGAATGACGTCGGCTCCATCTCAATGTAAAACCACGAACTTAAATTCGACATTGAGATACCAGTGCCATCTGTTGCCTTAATATAAATGCCGTCTGTATGATATTCCACATAAAATTAGCGATATAATAAACCCTGCGAACCCAAGTAAGATACCAAATAATTTTTGGGGCTCATACGTCAGTCATTAAAAAATTGTCAGTTCAGATTTATTCCAAGTTGTTCAAGTTGGTTTTCTTCTCTTTTTTATTAATTTTTTTAACCATTTTTTATTCCGCTTTCTGTAATCTTTCTTTGAAAATGTATTAAATCCACCAATCTGAATGCTTTGGAGCTACATTTTAAGTATTAAAAAGACGAGTAGTATGAAAATGTGTGTTTTGAATGCTTTTTTGACAATATATCGTCACAATTTAAAAAATTTTAGGGATAACGCATAAAGATGAAATTCAACGAAATAATAAATAAGTTTACTCATACGCCCAGGCCCTTAGCAAAAAGAAGAGGTGTAATGCGAAATGGTTTTATTATACCGTCTGCTCAAATATTACCCGGACTGGTCGATAAAATTTGTATCTCGAGATTATTATTATTATTATAACACAAGGACTACTTTTTTCCCGCACAGCCGACGCGAGGTGCATATCCGCATACTTGCGGAATCAGCCGAGTCATGAAAGGCAAGAGGGTTAAAATTTCAACTGCTAAGATATAAATTACATTATAAAAATATTTTTTTTTTATTTATTGATATTAAGCAAAAATGTCTTTTTAATTGCGAAAAGTGAAACAGATAAATGAAATGTGCCGGAACGAGAATTAATATCATGACATATGGGACTGAATGGTTCGTTAAGCTCTAAATTTGACCTGCAAGATTTTAACAGTAACGGTCTAACCTGCCTAAACCTATTAAATTTAACTTCAACAGAACTGCTAACTGTTTCATTCAGGATTCTAACCAAAAATATAACACCAAGTATTTCTATAGCTATCTAGGTAGATTTATATGTGTTAAGCGACTAGTGTAGACTAGTAGCAGACTTAACCTAGGCAATTAAAAATTGTTTTTGTACCAACTCTAACTTTTCAGAATGCATTTCGTAAGTATTTAACAAAACTGAGAACCTTTTGATTTCGAGATTATGGTATCCCTATGAAGATTAAAATTAAGCTTAGGGTACATAGTAACTCCCAATTCAACCAAGTTAAAAATCTGCTCTAGTAAATAGTCTTTTATTACAGCATAAGGTGAGGTGAACATCTGCGAGAAAAGCACATCGTCTTAAATTTTTTGAGATTCAAAGGCAAATAATTTCTATCGCACAAGGCAACCAAGTTGTTTAAGTCTGTTTGCAACAGACCTCTTTCATCAGGCTTTATGTCGTTGGCATATAATAAAATATTTGAGAATTCTATGACAGAAGAGATAGCATTAATAAATAGAAAAACAGAATCGGGCCAAGATGACTATCCTCTAGAACAGATGAAGAAACATTAATTGAATCTGACAGAGTATCCTCAAATGTCACCTCCATTTAAGAAATCATGGTTGAAAGCTCAAAGAAAAAGATTATTTACAAGAGTCGAGAGATTTAATTTATCGAAAGCTTTGCTAAAGTCAGTGTATATAACATTCGTATGCTTGTTGCCCCAAAAACCCAATGATACATGGCTTACAAATACAAGTAAGTGGAGCATCTATTTTTACATTTATTTGATGTTTAATCTCCTTAGATCAATTAGTTTGTGTTTGGCAGTTGGTTGTTTACGATACGAATGGTTTGTCTGGCGGATATTACGAGACATAATTGAACCAGTAGTTTTTTTTTTTTTTTTTGAAATTTTAACTTTCTAATGAAATCAAGGCTACCGATTGGTTGTATATGCTTCACAGGTATGATATAATATAATAGAAGATCTTAACATCTTTTATGAATCGCCACAAAACATTTTGGTTAATGCCTTTGATAGGCGCAGAAGATCATCCAAGTCGAGGCTTATCACAAGAGCACGGAAAATTAGGTTAAGCCGTGGAATGCTTGTATTGATTCAGCAATCTATTTTGAAAGGAAACCTCTATTTGTATGTAAAGTGTATTTTAGTTTACGTTTATGGTCCTTTTTTCAGTAAAATAATCAGTTTTGTTAAATTTTTCTAATAAGATATTATCTTTAAAATACTGAATATTTGCTTACTGTTATATACAACAGTGACTTGTGCTTGAAATGCTTTTGTTTCTATGTCAGCAGTAACGCTGTCTCGGCAGGCTGGTCAATCACTATATACGATACTCGTTTACGTATATACATACATAAGTTTAAGCATATAAGTGTACTCTATATACATAATATACAAACTTATGAAAATAAAGCTGCATGAAAACGTTTAAAGTTTGTCGCTTAAAATACAAGTGGTCGTTCATACCAACCATCACATATACATTGCATACTTTTAGGCGAAACAGTTCTTATAAAGACACCATTTGCAATCAAAATGCCATGAAAACACACACATTTAAAGCAAATGATGCATGTGGACGGAGAGTACTTCCGGAAATCGGTGTATTTTCTGTCAAGACGCCGCTTGTTGCGCACTCAAGCCAACAAGACGGCTCGAGCGGTGACAGTACATAAACGACAGCCGATGAAAGGAAACGAGTTATGGACATAGTATGCTGAAATATGCATAAATGGGCGCTTATGGGCACTATGTGGCCTATCTGTCATCACAACGTCGTGTATAAAAAAAGAATTCAAACGAAATATTTCACACATACACACACATACACAGGCGCATGCAGGAGAGAGTGTGTATTTTGCACGCGGTCAAATCGCCATGTTTTGTGGCAAGTGCGAAGTGTTTCAATTTAACTATGCATGCATGTGGCAACACTGAATGGTATATTTTACCGTTGTTACACGCTATCCATGCAGCGTGTATGCGCAATAACAACAATAGCACAAACACCAAAGATAGCGTGTACAAAAAGGAAAATTAAGAAAAATGGTGAAAATTACTTCTACATTGTAACCGTGTGAGTGCCCATAGAATCCATAGAATCGTGTTGAGTGCCGGGCAACAATTACAGCAAAAACAAAAACACTTTGCAAATAGAGTTGTATGCGCGGTGCATAAAGAAAGCGTTAGAGGGCTCCAAATGGACGCTTGTTGCAGCCGTAAGGGTGTTGAAGTGACAGAAGTTGCTTGCAACATGCAACAAAAAGCGCTGGAACAACAAGAAAAATGTCACAAGCGCGCGCATGTGTGCGTGTGTGTGCGCGCACATAATAAACGCAAAACACTATTAACATGCACGCCAGCGAAAACAAACAAACACCAGCAACAACAACAAATAGCCGCACACACATGCAAATGCATTCAGTGGTGCAAATGGTGAGTAAAAAAGGTGTGAAAAGTGTTTTTGTGCTTGTTTATTGTCGCGCCGCTGTCGCCGTCGTCGTCGCCGCTGCTGTAGAAATATGTTTTGTGATTTTTGTTTAGCGCGAATGATAGATGAACAAATATGTGCAGCACACACACACACACAAAGCCTATTTGCATGTAGAGGTGAATGAAAAGCTTTTGTGGCTTTAGTTTCGCGTCCACCAGGCAACAAAAGCAGACCGCCGTCAGCCGCAAAAATGTGCATTGGCATGCAACATAAACAAGTCGCGGCAGCACCAGGGCTAACAGCGTCATAACTTACTCGACTTCGGTTACAAATGAAGAAGTGCCAATATACACTGATACTTTTTAAATAAATTTTTTTTTCATCCAATATTAAAAAACGTCAAAAAATGCATTGAAAAATATATATTATTAAAGCAAAAAACAGTTAATTTTTTTTCAAAATCAAGAGAATCCGACTACAGTACTGAAGCGTACTAGTAAGCAACTAGCCGCCAGCGAAGTAGTTACTCGTCAAGTAGTTTAGCATAAACGCTAAGTCAAAAAATCATCATATAGGGTTCCTGTACCGCTGCAGGCGCCATATTGTATGTGTGTGCTGGCGTGAATAGGTGGGCGAGTGATGGACGAGGATGAGCGTGACGCTGTAAATCAAGCCTTAATGCCTATCATATCATTACACACGCTCGCGTGCAGCTCATAATGCACGTCATGCATACAATACGCACATATACACATACATTAATATGTACAAATGTGTACTAGTGTGTGTGTTCTTAGCAGCTGACAGCCTGAATGCACTTGCTGAGGTGTTGAAGTGTGGCTGCCGGATTGATTGCGGCCAACTGTCGGCTGACTTCACTTATGCTTTGTGTTTGCGCTTGTGGCGAGCGAGTTTCTACTATGTTGAGTTGCACTAAAAAGATTATTTGAAATTTAAGCTACTTTTGCCAGTTAATTAGTGTAGCAGAAATGTGAAAATCAACGTTGGAAATTAGAAAAGTACAAATGCAGCTTGAGCTTGTAAAGTAGCGAGTAGCGAGCTGAGTGAAATGTACAGATGTGCGTGTTAAACGTGAGGGCAATGGAATTTTAAAGAAGTTAAAGGTGTTATTTTCAGTTGGTGTGGTTTCATATAATCAGAGAAGTTGCGGGTGTTTTAACCGATTGGATTTGAAGTATCTCGGCATTTCTTTAGGATGCCAACTTACTGATGCAGGTCGCAGAGATGCTCAACGCTTGAGAACGACGTGTGAGACACTGATTTGGGTCTTCCTCAATTGATGCGCTAGCGGCAGCAATATTCACGACACTACGGACACTACTTTGCCTCACTGGCAAGGGAATATTTTGTACTGTGCCCGTGAATTAAAATTTTCGACTGGACTCTCAATTGTTGATCTGACAGTACGACTACGACGACCATAAATTGCACGAAGCGCTCTTAAAGTTGAGGCCACTGACTCCAG